TAAGTGACTTTTCCGAGCGATGGATGGAGAACTCCTCGCATAACATTGGCGTATCGTGTTTCGATTACGGGGCGTCTTTGGGACAGTTAGAGCCGCATCAACGTGTCGCCTCCATCCCCCTCCCCTCCCCTCCCCTCCCCCTCTCACTCTATCTCTAACTCTCTATCTATCTATCTATCTATCTATCTATCTATCTATCTATCTATCTATCTATCTATCTATCTATCTATCTATCTATCTATCTATCTATCTATCTATCTATCTATCTATCTATCTATCTATCTATCTATCTATCTATCTATCTATCTATCTATCTATCTATCTATCTATCTATCTATCTATCTATCTATCTATCTATCTATCTATCTATCTATCTATCTATCTATCTATCTATCTATCTATCTATCTATCTATCTATCTATCTATCTATCTATCTATCTATCTATCTATCTATCTATCTATCTATCTATCTATCTATCTATCTATCTATCTATCTATCTATCTATCTATCTATCTATCTATCTATCTATCTATCTATCTATCTATCTATCTATCTATCTATCTATCTATCTATCTATCTATCTATCTATCTATCTATCTATCTATCTATCTATCTATCTATCTATCTATCTATCTATCTATCTATCTATCTATCTATCTATCTATCTATCTATCTATCTATCTATCTATCTATCTCTCTCTATCTCTCTCTCTCTATCTCTCTCTCTATCTCTATCTCTATCTCTATCTCTCTCTCTCTCTCTCTCTCTCTCTCTCTCTCTCTCTCTCTCTCTCTCTCTATGCCGATGTCTACTTTAGAGGTCATTCGGGGCACGTGACGACCTCGGCAGCATACCATGTAATCATTCTTGGGTTATTCTAAACAGAAGCAAACGAGACGTCGACATATCCTCCCTCGGTGGACGCTTCGTTACTCGGCACTGACCTCCTGATAAACGCGTATTTCATATCCCCGGACCTTCTCTTATTTTCTTATCTATTCTATTTTTCTCAACGTAAAAATATGTTATCATTTCAAATTTACGTCTGACTGTACTGCAATGTAAATGTATTAATATATATTCAGTATTAATGGGATACGCACGTTTTCTTGCATACAATTTCTTTATCGAAATAATTGCTAAATGTATTAATAATTAATAACATATAATAAATACGCATATAGTGATATTTCGTGGATTATACAATTGCGTTTTTTCCAAATTATTCTGTTATTAAAAATAGATACGCTAGGGTGAAATTTTTCTTGCCTACGAAATTGCACGGTGAGTCATTAACGTCATTGCTATCGTCATATAATTTTATTGCCTTGAAAATAATAAAGTTAATCGTAAAGTAAAAAAAAAAAAAAAAAAAAAAAAAAGTACAAAAACTAAACAATGATTTCCATTCGAGATTAGACGTATGTTTTTAATGTAACACGCGATTGTGTATAATCACACAGAAAAACTATTTCGCATCTTTCACTTTCCATCTATAACCTTTTCATGTCAATTTTACATCTTTAATGGTTTTCATGATTTATTTTTTTATTTAAATCGGTCCTAAGAGTTTATAAGGCCTTAAGGCTTTAAGCCTCGCTTTGTTTAAAAGATTTTCTTCGTACAAGCATTCAATTGAAATGTCCATTATCTTTGTTTTTCAAGATCATTAAGAAATTGTTTACAAAAAATTCGTTTTCCTATTCAATGCCACGCCGATTAAGACTTAAGTCTTAAGTAATATTATTGATCGAGTTATAAGAAAAATTGCAGAGTTAATGATTTGTAATATGCATGGCATGTTGTAAGCGTTAAATGTCTCTTGAAAGCGTTAAAGTGAATAATGAAAAATTTACAACGGAAATAAAGAATTCCCAATGTAATCGTTAAAGAACACATTCGTTAAAAATTGTAAAATTCAATTATAATTAGAATGCCAATTTTTAACAAAGTAGCTAACACTGTAAGACAAAATATTGAACGCGTTAACCGTTTGTTAAATTACAGACCCGAGTTTTATAACGTATGGCGTTTGTATGGATAGGGAAGATGAATAATTCAGTACTCAATCCTCGGTCCAGCATAGACGAGTAAGACAATCAGCTTTTGTACTCGCGAATACAATTGGCTAAGCGATTCGGTGACATATTGACACTTAACACGGTCGCTTCTCGTGCGTTTTTTTTTTTTTTCTTTAAAATCACTGCGTTGAAGGAAGAAGAATGGTAGGGCATGGGAGGGAGGGGAGCCGAGTCCTGATCAACCAAGACAGAATCGCGAGTGTTGTGTAATTTGTTATAGAACTGTGCGCGCGTGTGTGTGCCGAGTGGTGGCTAACGAGCAGCGGCAGTCATGCGTCACTTAAGCGCGACTTGTTATGTTGAAAAACTGTCAACCGGGATGGCAGGTGTCCTGTTGTTTTAGCGGACAGAGGACCCGGATTTCGATATGTCCAGCGGTCTCGTCGTTTTATTGAAATCGAAGAGGGCGAGGGGTCGACGAACCCAAACCCGCACCCGCATTACATGCCTCGCGATCGACCATCGGCTGTCGCTTTCCACCGCGTGCATTAATTGGCCAGTCTGAATATCGAAGGACTCGTCGTCGCGCTATTCCTTATCGATAGTCCCAAGTACTTCCTTTGCCCACCCTCCTGCCTCGTGCCACAGCCACCATCGCTTATCGCTCGGCCCTTCCTTCCTCACGTTTTTGCTCGATTGGCATAAGATACGTATCCGCGGCTATCCGAGGTAGCCGATAATTCCATTTCCTGGCTTTTTGATATTTCGTGAAAGGCGAGAAAAGAATCGCCAAGGGATGATTATTACACGCTCACCAATTGTCGATTGATGGCTAATTGGAAGGTAATAAAACGCGATTAATGAGGAAGTGGCGGTGCATCGGGAGTTCGACGGCTGCTTTAAATGAAGAATCTGGTGCATATTTAACTTGGCGAAATGTCGGTCGGCCTATCGGATTCCGATGTATCAAATTTATATCGGAAGAAAAAAGTTGATATACTTGGTTATTAATGGTCGATTTGTTGGTTTTGGGGGGAGGGGGGGGGGGTATAGGACGTTCTCGTGCTACGGTACTCCCATATATCCGGAATTTTTCTTTAGCCGAGGCGCGGACCGCTTATTGTCGATGAGGAAAAATATTAACGTGGCCCGGGATACAAAATTATTTCTTCGAATGTTCCTACATTTCCTGTATATCTTTATAGCTGTAAAGGCAATGAATTCCAGTATAGACGTGGCTGGGACTACGTGAATTCGTCGGGAAATTGAATTTTTTTGTAAATTCCTCGAATATTTCATTACATTACATCTCCACTGCTTTGTGTTTACACCTCCGCTCTTTGGCCCTCCCTCCCTCCTCTCACTCTCACTCTCTCTCTTTCGCTCTCCCTCTCACTCATTCGCTCATTCACTCTCTCTCTCTCTCTCTCTCTCACACACACACACACACACACACACAAACACAAACACAAACACACACTATCCCCCTCTATCTCTATCTCTCTCTCTCTCACACACACACACACAAACACACACTATTCTCTCTCTCTCTCACATCTATCTCTCTCTCTCTCTCTCTCTCTCTCTCTCTCACCATCTCCCTCTCCCCCCTCTCTTTGTCGAATCAGTATGTAAAAAATGCTTTGGTTATTAATTAAAAAAGCGTCCGTTTACAATGGGCACAACTTCTGAGCGGCGGTCGGCGAATCACAGGACAAACAATGAACGCGCTTACCGAAAAGAGATAGAGCGACGAGGAACGGGGTGATTGGTAGATGGCGGAGGGGTTGGAGGGAGAAGAGAGATGGACAACCTATGCGCTGTGCAGCTACGGAGAATAGAGAAGCAAATGTTGAAAGAGCGCACACCGTCACCTCGAGCGTCACCTTCATCCTCGCTGTTCCTCTCCTCGAGTAAACGGTCGACCATAATCGGTAAGCCCGTGGTAAATCGAGCTCACTGTTAACGACTGACAACCCCGTGGTGATGGCCGTCGACGAGCGACCGGCCCACCAGCAAGTGGGGCGCATTAACATCGAGCCTCACGCGATTTGGATTCTCTCCTAACTCGGCGGATCCCTTTTGCTCGGGATGCTTACCGCCAGCCTCGCGCTACTCCAGGGGGCCCAATCTTTGTTAAGTGGGGCACGATGCCCCAACGGGGCCCGGAAGCAACTAGCGTTTTTTACGACTACCGAACAAAGTCAGCCACCGGGGCACTTTTAACGAGCACGCCTGGCTTTATTCATGCAATGCGAGCTAACATTGACGGAAGCGATGTATTATTATTATCCTTTTGTCCGAAAGTCACTACTACGTCAAACAATCAGCAGCGCAGATTTAGAAGAAAGTCGACCAATTCTTCCGGTTACTCGTCCTTCGAGCATTACTATTACTTCACCAACTCACCCTCGAATTTACGGTTTAAATACGCAATTTTAACATATATCGGTCATGTTTAACATTATTATCATTCTTTTTGTTAATGCTCTTATTATTATTATTATTATTATTATTATTATTATGAAGATTATGATTATTGTGATTATTTTAACTCGCTTTGGTGCGAATTTAACTTTGTGACGCAGTTTCCAAGGATTAGCCCCACCATGGAACTTGTAGGAATTATTTGAGTTTTCTTTATTTTGAAAAACCATTTTGTAACACTATTATATACTACAGTATGACATAACAATTAACCAACATTTATACGTTGAATATGGATACATGGAAACAAAAACGACACATTCCTGTATAGACCCTACTAGTGAAATGTTACTGGCGTAGTTTTGAGTCGAGATTTCGTGTATGTAACTCGACTCTTATCCATGACTGTACATGTTATGCTCTGAATGTGTATTTGTATTTCAATCTCGATTGTACACAATCGATGATCGGCGATCGGACGACGACTCGCCTTGACTTATATATCATTTCCCTTCTCCTACTAATTTATATTTTTCTTTTCTGCTTTCAGCTGCACAGATTCCACAACGCGGAAGTAAGTACTACCTTGGCTTTTATCGCTCTCCTTATACTTTCTTTCTGACGCGCGACGTTTCGCTTGGCCAGGCTGATTCTATTACCTTCTCTTTTATCTTTTAACTTTTTTTGCTCTACTTTCGTTTGTTTTCTCTATTTTCCCGGGAGAAAATTCATTATAAATCCATTGCAGCTCTATCGCTCGACTAAGCTCGGCTTTTCGCGAAGCCACTGCTCTTATTACGATTACAAGAACATCATCGTCTAGCAGGGCATGCAATTCGGAGCGGAGCGAGTGACATAGGACCGACGATCAAAAGTCGACGATAAAATCATGCGTTCCCAGCGACAGATGGTCGGCCAAGCTTCGCGTTTATAAAACCTCTTTATCGACATTAAGATACGACGCATAAGTACATATTAGTTTCATCAATTTCAGCTTGCAAGAGGAAAGACGAGATGTCGAGTCAGGCAGAACACCAGCAGCCCGCCCCCAAGAAGCCCCGACTGGTTTTCACAGACCTTCAGCGTCGTACTCTACAGGCTATTTTTAAGGTGAGCCCAATCGCAACGACGATCCTATGCCCTTCGTGTCCCCCTAATCTTCCTATCTACCGTTATTCGCGAATTTTATAGCGCAGCCGGTGTTAACGGAACGTCCATTTTTCACGATTCAGCCAAATAAATTATCGACGCCGGTGATGATGATGGCAATGATGGCGATGGCGGCGATAGTGGCGATGGTGACGACGGTCGCGCCAGCGTCCACGGCGCGCAATTTTGATTTGATAACTCGATGTACCTGCGCGAATCCGGTTCACTTGTTGCTCCCGCTTTGCGTAAATATCCTTTTATTAATCACGGGGAATTTGCGTGCCTCTCCGAATAGCGGCGCGCGCAATAGTCGGCGAGATTCATCAACGCGCTTCGGTCAGCCGAGCTTCCGATAAGGTATTCCTCGGTTATGCCAACCAAGCGATGTATTTACCTTTCATCGAGGGCCGGCACGTGCTGATAAATAAATGCGCTCTCCCCGCCTCACACCATAAGCCTTTTAATTTTGAAAAGAATTGACGATGAGGGGAGCGCAAACGAGCTCCGGCGCCCCTCGCTTTCCCCTCCCAATGCAACTCTATCTTAATCGACAATTAGGACAGTAGTCGGAGAAAGAGAAGGCATGCCGAACTCGCGGAGAGCGATTGAAAGCTAAAGTAATGGCCGGTTTACAAGCAGTCGAGGTCCGTGTAACGTGACGGCAGCAGCTGTCGAGGGTTGCGTCCGACTAGACGCTCGTGAAAATGATACCTGTCGCGTTCTTAGAGCTTTCCCTCGAACTATCGATCGCAAAGGATAGACGCAAAAGAGTCGTTCAGCCTAGCGCTTTGTCCCCCTCCCCCTCCCCCACAAAAAAAAAAGTCACTTGCTCTTCGTCGAGTGGCTGGCCAATCGAGTTCTATATTCCCATTTACGTGTGGATGCACTTTCTTGCGCCTCGGCCTCGGCCATTCCATGCGATTCCTCTCCTCACTCCCTGAATAAATAATTTATATATATATATATATATATATAACAATGAGATAAGATAAGGCAGTTCTTTAATAAACGATAAATCCACCTCCATCCTCTCCATTTCTTCTTCAATACGTTTCACCGCGAAAAACTGGACATTTGTTTAATCGATTATTTTCAACGATTATATTTGCACGCATGTATGATTGTACGGGCGCGCGACTGTTTGTTGGTGTGTATGGAAATTTACGAGAATATCGAAAGTCAAGTTAATTGTTGATGTAACTTCGTAATGTTAATTATGAATATTTTATGCTATATTGAAATACTGGATGGCCGACTAGCCACGATCAAGACGCGCGCGTGGGTTTGGAAAAAAAAGCACAATCATTGCGCGGGAAAAATGGAGACTTTTTGAACGCGGAGGGAATAGACGAGGAAATATAGAAAAGCCTGTGGTGAAAATATTCATTTGATATTAATATGGAATGTATCGTCAGGCGATAAAAAAGTGTCCTTGATCCAGCCACATGCATCATCGACAAGAGCTTTAACAATTTTTTTTTTTATTATTATCGTATGAATAGCTCAAAGGAGCGTTATAAAATCGGTTATGAAAAACTCTTCCAAATTTAAATTACAGATAATTATACGCTTGAGCTAATTTATTAAACAGCGATGACAAACGTTGAATATACCCGCTTTATTCTCCAAGTCCCTGCGCCATTGGTTTTACCGCAATGTTTTTGCTCACTGCACACAAACATATGTTGCTTCAATGGAGTTTTGTCAGTTAACTTTTGGATTCGATATTTTCGTATTTAACGAGCATATATAGCCCCAATAAACTATATTTTTAAAAAGAACCTATCAGCTATTTTTATACCATATTGAATATTTTAATCTATCCTCTTTTTACGAATGTATTAAAAAACAATTTTATCAGCTTATTACGTTTTATTTGGGATCGCTTTGATAACGGACTCATCAAAGAAAATTCGGTATTTTTTAAACAAATGTGCTCGATAGTGATAAATGAAATGAAGGGGTGAACTTTTTTTGATATTATTATTACCGTTATTATTGTTATTGATATTTTATTGATATTTTCGTTGGCCACGATTTTCTATAAAATAATGATCCTCAGCAATTGACAAATTTATTCATTTTCAATAGTAATTAAAGGTGCAGCGTACAGTGTAAATATTGTTTTGGAAAGATAAGAAATTTAAATTGTCTTAAAGCATTTAGATTCATTCGCCATATATATTGCACAGGAATTTATAAATAAAATTCCAAAAATTCCCGAATACCATAGGCTATTACGTAAAAAACAAATTTCTCAAACCACAATTCCGATTTAATAGAAATAATTTAAAGCTTTTATAACCTACAAGGCTGAACTTTTTTCTTTTTTTTTTTAAACAAATATATTAATTCATTCGATTAATTGTCGTTATATTTACATTCACCAAGCTATACTTTATTTCAAAATATTTAAAAATTACTGATTTAATCGATCGCTTAAAAAATTATTAATTGATGAATGTCGGAACGCGTTTGGGAATTGGAATCTATTTTAGTTACGCTTTAACGAAAAATTAACGTATAAAATTGTTGGAGAAACCCGAGCTATTCGAAATCATTTTATTACATCAATGCAAATTTTATTATCGTATTTATTAGCCAAGATAACCGAAGATGTTGGCAGATATTTTTAATACCATTAATATGTACGCGTCGATCGCCTTCGATAAGATGATTCAATTTTGGGTTTTTTTTTTCTTTTTGTTTCAATGGCCACACAATTTTAGACACTGTCACGCGCGATGTAAAAAACGCGCGAGTTTATTTAAAACGAGTCGATGAACTTTACTTCATCGGTCACGAAAAACAGGGAAACAAAAAGGCGCCAGTATTTATCGATTGGCTAGCGGGAGATGAGAACCATTGTAAGAGCAAAATTATCTCCCCGAATTGGAAATTGAGCGTCGAACGAAGTAATACCGCGCGCGATCGCGTCGAGTTGGCCTTTACATCGAGCGTAAAAGAGCCGACGACCGAGGGGACAAAAAAAAAAAGAAAAAAAAAAGAACCAAAACAACGGGGCGAAGACGTAACAGTTACCGAGGCATTAAAAGGAAATATCGCGTCCGCTGCGCCATCGCGAGTCGCGTCCGCCAGCGAACAAAACCTTCTACTACTGGCTTGTCCTACTTTCCGCTGGACAGTAGTATATCGTGCCTCAAGTCAGCCATCGAAGTTCGCCCTGAGCATGGGAGCATCGCCATCGCGGCATCGAAATGCGCATTGTCGCGCGACAATGAAGCCTCCGTTTAGGTTTATCGGCTTTGCTTGTATTTTCAAAATTCGCTCGCTCGCTCATTCGCCATCGCGGCTCCTATCTGTCTCATTTATTTGCCTTAGCTTCGAAATCCGAGTCGAGTCCCAACGCTTCTTTCCCTGCCTCGTCCCGCCCCCACCCCACCTCACCGCGCTCCTTACCTCGTCGCCCGTCGCCCGTCACCCGTTACCCGTTACCCGTTACCCGTTACCCGTTACCCGTTACCCGTCACCCGTCACCCGTCGCCCATCGGCCATTGCCCATCGCCCATCGGCCATCGGCCATCGCCCATAGCCCGTACCGCTGGCCCCCGTCGCTTTCCTTTTACCCTTCGCTTTTCTTATCTCGGGCTTACCGGACAGAAATCTCTTTTCCTAACAGTTGAGAATCGATGTCGATGGCACCGTGGCAACCAGCTTCCCTCGATCTTGTGAATCTCGGTTAGGAGCGAGGGTCCGTTGGACCCGGATCGGAAAAAATTCGGCAGCCAGTAGCAGATGGGTGTTAGAGGTCGCGCTGGATAGTCGCGCAACAGCCGCCACCGTCGCCGCGTATCGATCGGCTCGTGAATAATTTCTCAGGCGCACCCCCGCTGCCTCCTTCGCCGACCAACCCTCACCCGACCCCCCTCCCCTCCCGTCCCCTCCCCT